TCTTACTGTTAATGTCTGTTTAGAACAACATTCTTACTGTTAATGTGTCACTTCAGTTTAATTTTAAGTCTTTTTGTGTTAATTTTTCAAAATACCTGTGAATTCCTAACATTTTTTCTTTGTAAAACTTTGTTATCAATTACTGAGCAATGAGCAATTTTGTAGGCAATTAAAATTACCACCATATTTAGTTGTTCAAAAATTTCAGTTAAAAAAAAGTGTAGGAAGTATCTGAAATATAAGATGCCTCAGTCTAAGTTTCATTCACAATATCTATGGAAAATCGTCAAAACATTGAAACGGTCTTGTTTTATTCTTTGACAGATATCAACTGTAGGCTATATTATGATTCTTCATTGACTCTTTTTTTTAACCCTAATATCAAGCATATTTTTGCAGTCTGAATTCGTTCTGCATTCTAAGAATTTCTTTGTACCTCTCAATGGATTAAAAAACATTCTTACAATTCTTTGTTGACAATATTCAGTCTGATATAAACAATTGAGGCAAATAAATTATCAAAGAAAATACAAATTTAAAATCTGTCATTTTAATTTATTCTTCATGTTTACTTGTTAATTAAAACTATTGCAATCCATAATTCCGTATAGCACATCATAAATTTATCTAAATTATATCATAGATGTCAAATTTCTTCATTTTACTTTATAGCCTCAAAAAGAATTGCCTGAAGTTTCTTTCTTCCCTTTTTTTTGAGGGGGGGACCTCTTTGTTGACCTTTGGTGCATCACTTATTGCTCAGTTCTGAGTATGGGCACAGAATAAAAGAGTTATAGGATTTCCATTTTAATACAAATTTCGAGATTCATTTCTGCCCTCTTACATGATCTTTCCATTATCATATTCTTCACCCATTTTTAAAATGTTAAATTTCTTCTGAATTTTTACGCACCACTTAAAATAAATAAAAATCTCTAGAGTTGTCAGTTTGAAAAAACTCAAAAAAATTTCAATGATTTATTTATTCAATTTAAGGTTTCAAGATCAAAGACACTTAAAAGTTGCATGCATTAAATGAATCATTTAAGTTTTTTTCTTTGGATAGTGTTCAGTTGCTTATAAATATTTAAAATGATAAATAAATGAATAAGTAATTGAACTAAATAAATGGAAAAATACATGGAATGGCAATAACATTCATGACATTGTTGAATATGAAAACACTCAAAATATCCTGTTGTAGTATTATATGTACTGGAAAATTAAAATATTCATAAAAAAAGCATAAATATATTCTGCATTAAAAAATTTTATAAATTACATTGCACCTTTACTCGTATTACCAGCTTTCTTTTGATTTATGTCACATATATTTGCTCAGACCATAAGATTATACAAATTAGCTTATGTGCAAGAATGTTCAAAAGCTAAAAAAGATTAATTGCAATCAGGGCCTCTGCCTGGATTGGAAGGAATGCTGAAGTTGCCCATGATGTATGTGCATGTACACTGACACTATAATCATTTGCATATTCCATCGCAGTATACATAAGATGTAAGTTTCATGCTGTTTGAATGCTTCTTTCATGGTGTCGTATTTTAGATGGCCAGTAGTTTATATATTAAAAAAAAAATTGCCTAAAAATTTTAAAGAGATGTCATGCAAAAGATGAAATTAAACTGTTGATTTGTAACATATTTATTTTATAATTTTTTTTTAACATACAATTTACTATTGAATGTTAAAACTAAAAGCATACAAATTACTGAATGTCAGAATGAATTTTAATCTTATATTAAAAAAAAAGAAAAAAAAACCTTGCTGTAATTATATTATAGTTATAATAATAAGCTTAACAGAACCATCATATTATTTTCATTTGCTTGTTGCTACTGTAAAGACATAATCAAATTAAAACACACATGGAATAATGCAGAACATATACTATGAGGAATTTCTCCAAAGTGCTAGGAATTTATTCATAATTATTTTAAAATTTCACAATGTTTCCTCAATATTAGAATGAAGTTCTTCAACATAATTCCCATTTAACTGAATATTATCACAACAAAAACTAATTTTTTATGCCATCCTCAAAGAACTTTTCTAGTGCCTCCTTAGTCCTTCTATGTATAGCATGGTTAAACTCTTAAATTGAACATCCCATCAAGCTTTTTCCAAATTTGGAAGCAGAATATTCCTCTCAGAAGTTGAACAAATTCTCAAGTTTTCACATTCTTTTTCCACAAAAAGATGATGATTGCTCTTTATATGTTCTATGGATGGAGAAACAGTGCTATAAAAATGCATCTGTATTAGTTAAACTACTGAAATGGACTAAATACTGCACAGGATAGCTGCATAAACATGTTAAGAATTGTCTCTGGCTGATAGCAAGGTATATAAATTCTAGGAAATGAACTAGAGCTCAATTCCCATAACTTTGGAACTTTGGAAACATTATACAAATTTTATAAAATGTATCCAAATACTTAAAATTTTAAATATATATAAATGTCTAACCTAACTAAATCTTTATGGATATTTAAAGTAACTTATTTGGCATGCTAATATAATGTCTGGTACAGAAATATGGTATATTAATGTCTGGCAAAGAAAACTACACACTGCCATTTTGATTATTTTATTTTTTCAATCATTCTGAAATTGTGTTTTAATAAATTACAGCTCAGAAATGAATTCTTACAAATATTTATAAAAATAATGACACAAAAATATTCAAACATTTGTTTTTCATTATCACTCATCCTTTACAAATTACCTCAGTCTTAATATGAAATATATACAAAGCAAAACTTCCATAATATAAAATAACAAACACTTCCACTGCAAGTTTTGACTGCTATAAGCAAAGTAATTACACATAAATGATACAATGAACTCACAATGGTACATATCAAAAAGAAGTTTTCCTTGCAGTAATCATATTGATTCATACATACACACACACATACGCACAAAAAAAAAAAAAAAAAAAAAAAAACTTTATGCATTTATATTAGATGAAATTCAATCTCCATACAACTAAATATTCCATTCCACATGAAATAAGACTGCAGTTACATTTGATAAAATCAATATCAAATATACTAACTCTCACGATACAAGATTAAGTTTTAGATTGAATACAAATATGTTTGAATTTACTTAAAATATTTTGCTGTCAAAATAAATTTACTAAATGGAAATGTTTAAAATGGAAATTACATAACTATAGAGAAGAAAATCTTATTCCAGCCAATGATACTTATCACATCTTTACATGTAACTGAAATTACTTTATATTTGTAATGTCTAAATAAATTTGCTAAATGGAAATATTTAAAATGGAAATTGAACAAATATAGAAAAGAAAATCTTATTCCAGACAATGAATCTTACAATATCATTACATGTAATTTCAATTACATGTTCCCAACTATGACTGTAGAATTATCTATTGAGCAAATTTACTTCTTTACATCTTTGGAAAAAGCTTGAAACTTCGAACAGAAGTTACTGTCACAAAACTTAATCACAGAAAAAAATGTAAGTAAATAAATGTCTCTTGCAGCACCAATATATTGAGTTAATTTTTTTTTTTATAAACTGTCAACAATTACATAAAGTTTTTTAAGAGAAGGAACAGAATACTTTCCACTAGGATTCTCCTCTAGATATTGAATTAAAATTTTTTCTTTAAATAGATATTAGCTATTTTTAAACAGCTTAAAAAGGATTAAGACTTTTGTGCATAAAAAAATAATAATCCATTTTAATAAATTCTGAAAAGAGTTTATTATCTACGTACAGATGATGGTTCTTATAACAATATGAGTTTTAAGCTCTAAATCAGTGGCTTTTTAGACTATGGGTATGCATACACCCAGAGGTATGTAAGTCTTCAAAAGATAATTAACAAAATTTAAAGACATCAAAAGCGGTAGAAATTTCTCTTTTGGTTGACTATAATATTTACACTTTTATAATTTTAGGTTATGAATATGCACTGTCTTTTTTTAATGATTTCAAAAATTCAGACAGTCTCAGCTTCAGGGTGAGGGTGAAAAGTTTTGTTAATTATGAAGATTTCTTTCTACATTTTTAAATAAATCTTTTAAACAAAACTTGAACTGTATTTCATACTCAGGTAAATAAATAAATTTTTTGCATACTTTGTTTATGTTAAACTAAATATAACACTTCTCAGTTAAAAATATTGCAAGTGTTTTAAAAATGGAATTCTTCAAATAATTTTCTTAAATAACTGATTCTATGGACATGATAGTCTTTAATTTTTTTTTAATAAATAACGAGAAATTTTAAACATATATCCTAGGCATAACAACTATGAAAGTATCCATATATTCTTGGGAATATACATGCACAATATGTTTATATATCCAGAAGTGTATGTATATTTCAAGAAGCAAATTACCTGGGATCAATGAAAAGGTCCTTTGAATTGCCTTTCAAATGTTTTTAGCACATGCAAAACTTCTATTTGTTTGGAAATCATAGCATATTTCACAAACGATCCAAGTTATTTCAATTACACAAAATTTTAATAGTTTAAAAATGGAGATTTTGTTTCTTAGCTGAAACAAAATCTCCATTGCAGCATTTGACTAAACTGTACTCTTAAAGCAAACTCTCCACTCATCAAGAATAATAATTTAAAGTAAGACTATGGCCTTGCTCACATCAAAAAAGGAAGTGAAGGCTGTGACTGTGGTCTAAATGTAGCCTGAAGAAAAATTAAAAGCTGCCATTGTTTAACTTGAAAACTATGTGATGAGGCTAGAATGATGACAGTTTTATATAAAGTTTCTTGTTGATGGAACATTTTCACCTTTGTTATTGAAATCATGTAACTTAATAAAGTTTATACATATTAAAAAAAAATTAAATAATTGGTAACAAAAACCACTCAATAAAATCAAATTTAGAAGTTCTCTAAAGATATTGGACTGAACTGAAAAGAACAAAATAATTTAATAATTCTTCTACAAGTAAAAAAAAAAAAAAAAAAAAAAAAAAAAAAAAAAAAAAAAAAAATTCTAGTTTTTGAATTAAAATTAGAAACTAAATTCTCTTAGAAATATAATTAAATTTTGAAAATAATGTAAAGAATGTGTTCTCAAATTTAGCTTCAAACTTACATACTGCTGTTATTAGTAGAATGAGTTTGCAATTTTATAATAGCTAAGCGACTGTATTCATGTACTGCATATAAAGATTATATACATCTTTCTTTCATTTACCAGCTCTAAATGGTCACCTTATCATTTTACAAACCACTCAAATATTTAAAATTTTTAGTTATAGTTTACTTTAAAACCTCTACATGTTTCAATTTATTCCTCAAAAAGGACATTAAAATTCTGTCAACACATTTGTAAAACGTTTTATAGAGAATTTTAAAAGTAATTAAAAAATTAAAAAATCGTAAGCAATAAAAAAAGAGTATTTCTAAATGAAAAGACAATGGTACAAAACAAAAATAAGAATAATTGTCTTTCTGGAGGAAAGACATTTTAAACAAGGAAACTATCAAATTCAATTAGTTTAAGTTATTGTAAAAATGTTCCCTATAATTAAAAATTTTTTAAACCTTTGATAAAGAAATTTAATCAATTATGTATAAAATGCATAGTATTTAAAATATTTCAATTTTAGATGTATCACTGTTTGGAAATATAATTTCTACCTACCCATAATTCATACACTCACACATTGTTGCTCTAAAAATATTTTATAATTATTTATTACAAATTTAAAAACATTTTACTTCGCATACATCTTTAAACTAAGCTCAAATCTAAAAAAAAAAAAAAAAAAAAAAAAAGAGAGAGAGAGAGCTTTGCAGTTTTATCACAACCACATATCACTAAAGTTTCCTAGAAAAATATTCAACAAATTTGAATCTCTCACATAGCTTAAAAATACGTTAAGATTTTCTGCTCTCTTTCTCATGTAGGCATCTTTCCATTTCTTTGAGCAAAGCTAATCGATAAGCTTCATAACCCATGACAATACTTTCAAGTTCTTGCCTATATAATCGATTTAACATGGCTTGAAAACAGTCCAGTTCTGGTAGTCTGAAGAGTTCCCACTACAAGAAGAGAAAGTATTAAAATAAACGGTAATATGGAATTAGCTGTCAAATTCAGAAAGAAAATAAATAAAATAAAAAATACTGAATATCACATGAAAACTTTAAACTATAAAATGAGTTCTAACTATCTAAAATTTTATTTCAAATTGTAATTCACATATTTTGAACTCCACATAATAGATATTTAAATTATATTGACATTTATATATATATAAAGTAGACAGAACAAACGATAAAAGACATATATGGTCGAAAACTTTGCGCATTGTGCTGCAAAATTAAGAAAATTAAAAGATCTAATTGAAATCCATTTTGAGCAAAAAAGCCGCTGAAATACTGTGGTTCCATGAAAACTTTAACATAAGCAAATTAAGTAGCAATGAAATGTGTTACAAGAGAAAAATACAACATTTCACTATTTACAAGTAAAAATCAATCCTAATAGTAAGCAACATATTAATCTAATTTAGGTACATTTAAAACATTAGTAAAAGTATTAACTAGTTATTCGAGCTTAAAACATAAAAACTAAGAAGCAGTAAATGGCAGATTAGCCCAATTCGAAATTCATTAAGGCACATCACGGGAAATTTTTAATGAATTTCAAACTAAGCTAACTCCATAACGCGTTTCGCCAAAACAGACAATTGATACTGTACATACCACATTTTTCAATTAATTAAATAAACTTTGTCAGAATCTTGAGTCTCAGTTCTCTGTTCCAGTTTCCCAACGTGTCGGCTTGAAGAAACACATTAAGGTGTAATAAGGATAATAAATAATGGAATGGAAATGCCAATGTACAAAATAAAATAAATAGCAATATGCTATTAGTCAAGATATACAAGATCTTATGGGTGGACCTGCTAGCTTAAAGAGTTTACTACTTCCAATCGTCTATCCCAGATAGCATATTAGGCATCAGAAATCACAAATGATGCACAAATTGCTGTTTGCCCAGGAATCAAATATTGACCAAAATTCAGAGTTAAGTTCAGCACTTAGCTTAATGATCAAATGAATAGAGAATTCCACTAAGCAAATTGAACAATTGTCTCGAAAACAGGACAGTAAAAATCCAAGATGCCACGTTAACCACAATTGTTCAAAAAGTAGACAACGTAATTTACACACAAATCATGCCAACACTGGTTATTGTTATTATCACCAAAAGTTTAAACAGCTGATGCTCATAAATGTACTTCTCCATACTCATCTCTGGTGGAAAACTAAATTCCACTGCTATTCCAAAACAAGTCACGAATACCTGATTAGCAGCGAACACTTCCAATAGATTACACATGCATGACAAACATATAAACATGAGTTGACACATGTGGTGACATTTCTTGCCTTCTAGTGACAAAAGGAAAGCATTTCACTGCTACTACTCTACAGAAATTTGCTGCAAATAATATAAAAATTAAAACATATGGCATTAAGCAACTAAATTTAACTTTCAAGCTTAGGCAAAATTTTAAATGGGATTTCATAATAGCTGATGTTTCAATTCCCATAACGTGTGCCAATTTCCTCACCCATTTTGGATTACTAGTTAATTTACCTTCTCCCCAAAAAAATAATCGTTGATAAATTAACAACTCTTGCTAGTAGCAGCCGATTAGAGCACAATACTCAAATGAATGTTATGACTGTTTTAGAATGCTCTCAACATCACCAACTTCTTAGACAACTTCCAGAATTGATTAATCCTTTTATCCATAGCAAAGCAATCAAACATGGCACAGTTCATTATATTGAAATTAAAGGACTATTAGTCCACTCCAAAGCAAGACGGCTCCAACCCGAAGTTTATCAAGAAGCAAAAAAGGAATTTGAATTTATGATAGAACAAGGAATTTGTCAACCCTCCAAGAGTAACTGGTCTTTGCCTCTACACGTAGTACATAAAAAGTCTTACTGGCATTAGACCAGTTGGAGATTACAGAGCACTTAATTCAATTCCAATTTTTGATTCATATCATATTCCACATATACAAGATTTCCCCTATTTAAATTCCCTTATTTAAATTATGGACATAAAAATGTTGCTCAAATATTCCAGCATTTCATGCTGAAGTGTTACGAGGACTATATTTTTGTTACGCATACCTAGATGACATCCTAGTATTCTCAGAAAACGAAACACTTCATAAACAATTCCACAGTTTTACACAAACTAAACAAATATGGACTTAAGTACTTCAAATTCGGGATTCCTGAAATATTGAATTTGTAATTATTTATTCCTGAAATTCTTAGGCCATTAATAACCAAAGATAAACCTTTACCTGAATGGGTAGATGCAACTCTGAACTTAAAAAAACCATAACATATTAAAGACAAGGAAGTTTTTAGGTTTACTCAATTTTTATGCAGGTATTTGCCATGTACAGTACATAATCAAACACTACTCAGCAAATACTTAAAAGAATGATTAAGTGTAAAATTCCTAGGTCTGTTCAAACAAGTGAAGCTTTTGAAAATGCTAAACAACAGTTAGCAAATGCTACATTATTAGCACATTCTGCACCAAATGCATGTCTAATTCTTGAAGTCAATGCATCTCTAATTCTTGAAGTCAATGCATCTGACTATTCGCCAATATTTCCTATTGGCGAATCTCTAAATCAAGTTACTAAACAAGGACTCGAACCCCAAGCATTTTCTTATAGAAAGCTCAAAACCACCGATGCAAAATACAATACCTATGATAGAGAATTATTAGCAATATACAATCCATTCGCAAATTTATATAAATGCTAGAGAAACACAAATTTACAATATTTACTGACCACAAAGCATTAATATTTACTTTCAAACAAAAACTTGAAAAATGCTCCCCACATCAAACTCGTCAACTACATTTTATTTCCCAATTCACAACTGATATTCAGTACAATAAAGGAGACCCAGTAATTTATATTAAAATAAATATAAATATTTGGGTGTGATGTTTGACGCAAATTAGCATGGAAGCCACATGTAGAGGACTTGTCCAACCATGCTACGAAGAGACTCAGTGTCCTTAAATACCTTGCTGGGCCAAGGTGGGGTTGCACTAGACGATCCCTGCTCCAAACTTATCATTCGTTTATCCTCCCCTTTCTGACTTACTTCTGTGAACCACTTGTTGTGGCCATGGAAAATGTACTCTAGAAAAAATCCAAAATCTGTGCTTATGTACTGTTTCTGGAGCAGAGAAGACCACCCTGATTGATGCCATGTTTATGTTATGTTAACTGGTGATAAACCCTTAAGTACCATAATTCATGAGAAGGCCTTAATTCTCTGAAAGAAGATCATTAGAGTTCCTGGATGTCTTTCACTCTGGAAAGAAGTCAATCAAGATTTGACTAGAAATCTAAAGACTCAGATGGTCTTTTTACAGAGAGTTTTTCAGTTAAAAAAATCCACTTGGTTTTATGAATGTACCAGAATTATTTGTTCCACTACAAAATCCAATAAATTTGAAATCTTTTTGGATTAATCTTGATCTGGGTCAAAAAGTAACCAAAAGTAATACAGATCCTTCCATATTAAGAGTCCTCACTTTCGAAGTATTAAACATTTTTTACTCTGAGCCAGAGTGGCTTCGGATCTTTACTGATGGATCCCTCCTGTTTGATGGCCCTAATGCAGGTGCCAGAATTTTCTCTTTCTACATCCCTGTCTGCGTTGGAAGGAGGTTTTGCATTTGACGGTGAAATTGCTGCGATTCGCACAGCTCTGTACCAGCTACCATGCGACTTGGAAAAATTCACAAGAGCTGTTATACTCAGTGATTCCCGAGCTGCTCTGTTGGCTATCGTTTCAGATAAAAAACCCATATCACAGGACATATTGGATTGTTGATATTATCTACAAAACCTGGCTTCACTTGAGAAAACTATAGTCCTCCAGTGGGTTCACCCACTGGGGGATTCCAGGTAACGAGAAAGCCAACTTCTTAGCAAAAAAGGTTGCTTTAATCATTCAGAATATTTGGTTGGACAGGTCCTCTACATGTGGCTTCCATGCTTATTCTTGTCCATACTGTTAGAGATCTTATTAAAAGATCTTTCAAAGTACATGCTCAGGAAGATCTCTATCATCATGTTTCTCACAAGTCTTGAAAGAATGCTATCTCAAATTTGTGTAATGGCCCAAGGTGCAGAGCAATTGCTGAATTCTGCCTTGCCACCGAACATGACTGCCTACAATATCATCTTCATAGATTGAAAATAATTCCTTTTCCAATATGCACTCTGTGCAGCTCTGGACAGGTGATGGATGCTGCACATCTACCCCACTGTCCAGCTCTGCGCAAGACTTTTCTCGCCCAGCATTACTGGGAGATAAGAGATATGTTAGATTAATGAACTCTGTTACAGCTGGTTTTTTTTTTTTTTTTTTTTTTTTTTTTTTTTTTTTCATTGTGTTGCTGTATTCTATTTTTTTGTTTTATGCTGTAACTGTTCCTAATCTGTCACTAGAAATTAAAAAATAAATAAATAAATAAAATAAATAAAAAAAATAAGGAGCTGATAATATTATCGCTGACACATTATCTCTCATTCACAAAAATAAAATTATTGCTCTTATTGATTATGAAGAAATTGCTCAAGCACAATCAAGAGATGATGAGTTAAAAGAAATACTGAACACTAACAATTCTTTACAAATGAAAAAAGTTAAGCTCCCAAATTTAGAAATAGAATTATATTGTGATATATATCTACAGGCACGGCAAGACCTTATATTCCCAAGGCATTTCAAAAATTGTGTTTTAATTATGTACATAATTTAGCTTATCCAACCATTCGAACGACATCAAAATTAGTTTGTAGTCAATATGTGTGGCCAAATACCAACAAAGACGTTGCGAATTGGGCAAGACAGTATATTTCGTGCCAAAAATCTAAAATACACAAACACATTTCAGCCTACGACATTCTTAAAATGGATGGAAGTTTTACCAACTGTGCTACTTGGTTTGAGAACGGATCTCAAAGTAA